ATTTCGAGGAAGAATAATTACGAAGAGAACTAGATTTCACTAATATACACTGTCTGCCATAAGTCGGTGGACCTGTTAGAACGATGGATTTAGAAACGAGGTTGTAATTGTGAAACGAACTTAGCTAATGCTAAGTTTGCTAATCGATGGCCACGTTAGAGAGAAAGTGTGAATTATCTTCCAATGTTTTTTTTTTTAAGAACTCTAGTTAGAATTGATTACGATTTATTTTTCTCAATTCTGTTCTTCGTACATTTCACACATTTTTACGAGTCTATAAATTTCAACGATTAGGACGATTGAATTCTGAATTATGAAATTCACGAAAATTACTAATTGTTAATATTCAATCATTCTATTTTTATTCTATTTCCATCTAATCCGATTCGTCAAAAAATTTTTGTTTCTTGCATTGTATTCCACTCGTCACGAATGTAAAACTTTTCCAAAGAATCATACTTCTCTTGTGAAAATGACTGATTTAACACGCACGTTCTAACAGCGGCTTTATGGTTCTGAACGCGTGGATGTAACGTTTATATTTCGAATAAACAACAACAAACAATCAAGTTAGTTTTATTATTTGATTGTTTAGCACACCGATGCTACAACTGTGATAAATCAAATGTTAGTGAAATCTAATCTAGAACCATAAAGTCGCTGTTAGCACGCATTCGCCATTTTTCCAAGAGAACTATTAGGTCGAGACCTATGGCCCTTCGGAAATTTTTACTTTTTAAGAATGAGTAGAATACAATGTAAACGAAAAAGAAAAAGGAAATTTCTTTGACCTTGTTTCTTTGAAATTCAAGATCAAGAACGATTTTGCGGCAGGTTTGTTACATGCATCATTTCCATCAAATCGAAAGTGTAGAATTCATCTACAATAGCCACGGACAAACTTTTCTTTCCACCCTGTACATAATATATATTGCACACGAAGCGAAAGTTGCTTCTTTCCAGGCTCTACCTTCAGTCAGCGACTATATGTAAATTGCACGTATGTTCGTTTTTGTTTAACAACTTAAAGCGTGTGCTTTTGTACGTAGAGCCGAATTATTTGTCCCTCCGTCAAACTCGCTTTCACACGGCGACAGGTAAAACATTTTTCGAACGATCGAGGCAATTATTTTCATTTCGTTCTTGACATTGAATTGATTTTTTTGTTTCAAACAAACGAAACGAACGAATACGAGTCAAATACAAAATCTGAAATAAGTACAAAGTCAAGAATAAAATTCAACAAGATATTATCAATTAGATGAATGGGTTAAATCCTCGAGAGGATCGTAAACCTTTCGATGCATTATTTTATCAAACTTTCCATCGAACTTTCCATTCTACGCACGAGAACGAATGAATGAATGAATGAATGAAACACACAGAGAAAACACAGGGAAAATGTACACGTTGAAAATTTATCGCGAAAAATGGTCGAGCTTTCACGAGGCCGAATGAAATCACGCTGAAAATAAAGACCCCTTTATGTCGTAGCATAAAATTGCAGATATACTATCTATTCGAGTGCATCGATACAGATCGGCGCGCGTGCGGGGCCATTGATTGTTTTCTATTAACGTTTCACCATTCGCGACAGCCGCGTGTTTATGTGTGTGTGTTCGAATGTTGTTCGAGGCAATTCGTTCTACACTTCCACGCCTTTATGTATTTGAGTCATTTGATCGAACTGACGTGCAACTGTTCGATACGATCTAAGGACTCGTGCACGCTTTGTTCCGATATCACTGTCCCAAAACCGCCTATGACGTATAATGTACCATATTATCGCATTTTTGCAGACAAAAATTAAAATTTTCGCAAATGGCACAAATGGCACCAAATGCCACATACACCCCCCGCTCAGAAATCTCAAGTACTATAGAACATGTATCATCATATCTGTGTAATAAAAATAATATAAATAATATAAATTATGAGTTATATATGATAGATACAATATTACACGATATAAAAGTATAAATTATATGCACAATGTGCAATATACAATATAAATCGTTGTATTTTAATTATAAATGATATTGAATTATATATAAATAATAAATAATTAAATATTAAATAATTTATAAATAATAAATTATAATTTATAAATAAGTAATTGTTTCAAAAATAATTGTTTCAAATAATTATGAATTATATGTGATAAATACAATATTACACAATATAAAAGTATAAATTATATACACAATGTGCAATATACAATATAAATTGTTGTATTTTAATTATTATAAATGATATTAAATTATATATAAATAATAAATAATTTATAAATAATTAAATATTAAATAATTTATAAATAATAAATTATAATTTATAAATAAGTAATTGTTTCAAATAATTATGAATTGTATGTGATAAATACAATATTACACGATATAAAAGTATAAATTATATACACAACGTGCAATATACAATATAAATTGTTATATTTATATATAAATAATATTAAATTATATATAAATAATAAATAATTAAATAAATAATTTATAAATAAGTGATTGTTTCAAAAATAATTGTTTCAAATAATTATAAATTATATATGATAAATACAATATTATATAATATAAAAGTATAAATTATATGCACAATGTGCAATATACAACACAAATTGTTGTATTTAAATTAATTATTACTGTCCTAAAACCAAGTATGACATGCAACTGAGGCACCAAAAATTAAGGGGGTTTTTTAACTGGGAAATTTTTATCCACCCAGTATATTCCGCCGATACAGCACCCTCGGATGATCATTTATTTATATCGTCGCAAAATTCGCTTCAATTTTAAAATAAAAATTTTGATTCTCTAGAGACCTGCAAAAATGCTGTCTGCACTTCCTGGCGAAAAGGATAGTGAATTTCGGAAGGAGGGAATTATACAATTGCCCCGCGAGATGGAAAAAAAAGTCGTGCAACATAACCGACAATATAAATTTTCCTCATTTATAAAAAGATGTACAATTATTTTATACGCAAAAATGCGACATTACTTATGGACATTAACTCAACCCAATAATAACACTGAGAGTTGAAACTTTCGTTTCGATCCAGTTCGAAAGGGAGAGAAATCGATACGCGGCCGTAAGTCGGCCATGACAGATTTGCTTTGATTGTTTCTATTAAACGACGCGAGGGAACACGGCGGGACCGTCGGGTAACCAACCGTGTCCGTTTGTAGTATAAATATGTAGAAAATTCCGCTCGTTAGGGTGCCGGAACAATGAGTTTTCCAGGCTGTTGATTGCTTGTTTAAGCTGCCCGCTGATTTCATGGGCCGATGAAGAGGCTCGGACCGCCTGGTCGCGCCTGGATTTTCTGTAAACCGGCCTTTGAAACGCGTTTACGCAGCAAATTGCAACGGAAGTTTATCGCACGTCGAGAATTTTTCGTCTTAAAACTGCAATATTTTCTCAGTTTTCTTTATAAGTATATTTAAGTATAACCCGGGCAAAACAAATAATGAATTTGTTAAAATTACTTCTCAATAATTTCTATCCAGTGATAACATATCGACGAGTTCAAAAGGAAAGCGACGAATTTATTGTGTACGATTCGGTCACTCGTTATGGTCCGCAATCAGTTGCCAGCGCAACGCGGTTAACCTCTTGCGGTGGAATGACATGCCACGCACGTCGAGAATTTTTTTATATCGTCGAGTATATTTAAATATAACCCAAAGGTAAAATAAGTAATAAATTTAATACTTCTTAATAATTTCTATCTATAGTGATATACCGACGAGTTCAAAAGAAAAAGAAAGCGACGAATTCATTGTATACGGTTCGGTCACTCGTTATGGTCCGCAATCAGTGGTTAACCTCTTGCGCTGGAATGACGTGCCACGCACGTCGAGAATTTTTTGTTCCAAAATTGCAATATTTTCTCAGTTTTAAGTATAACCCAGGCAAAATGAATAATCAATTTGTTAAATTACTTCTCAATAATTTCTATTCTATAGTGATATCACACCGACGAGTTCAAAAAAAACGACGAATTTACTGTGTACGGTTCGGTCACTCGTTATGGTCCGCAATCAGTTGCCAGCGCAACGTGGTTAAAGTGTCGGTTGCTGTTTGAAACTTGCTCTGCCTCTCTACCGCGTTAAATTTAACATCTGGGCACTTGAATTTTCGTTGAAACGTTGCTGTTCGCGATCTGTCAGATTTTATAAATTTCTGACATCTTTGACCCGCGTTGACCCCCGTGTTAAGAATGATTTCCACTGTAAATTGTCTATGAAATTGGAAGATATTTTTAAAACAACGAATCATCTGCCAAACTACGAGATAAATAAAGAAAAAAAATAATAATAATCTTGAAATAACTTGCAAATCGTTGCAAATAACTTTCATTGCCAGCAATTCGAAACGAATTCGAGATTTAACGTGAAAAATTTTATGGGCTGGCACATCGCCGACTGTTAAACAGTTCTTACAGCTATCCCGTGCCGCCTGTTCTATAGCTAGAACGAGGATTATGACCGCTCAAGGCCGCTCTCCCCACCACTGTCATGATCTACCGCTATCGCTACCACCACAGTTTTATCAGAAATCAGAGTTTTTTCCACCGGCGGACATTCGGAAACGCATCGTCGTTTAATTTTTCTTTCAATCGTTGAATCTTCGAATCTTCAATATTTCATTTGCAATTTACGACAATGCCTAATGGCGTGCAAAATGAAATTTATAAACGAGAATTGCCACTAGAATGAGGAAATCGCTGATTTATCGTTGACCACGTAACGAGTGGAATGCGTAATCTCTGTTGATCTAGAAGCAATAATTCTAAACTGACTCTGTTGTGAATGTTCAAGCGCTTAGGACTAGGAAATGACGCTTTCTCCATGCATCTTCGAGGAATTTTTAACTCTCGAGCGTGGTGTCGTTGGACTGTAGGCGGAGAGAACAATTCAACTTTAAATTACCTCGTCTTCAATTCAAATGAATCTCTTGTTTGACAATTAATTCTGTTCCAAAGTTACATTCTAGAAATTTGTAACATTCTTTAATTCTCCTATGCTAGATTCTATGCTAAATTTGGTACTAGATTCTATACTAGATTTGATGCTAGATTCTATATTAGATTTGATACTAGATTCTATACTAGATTTGATATTAGATTCTATACTAGATTTGGTACTAGATTCTATATTAGATTTGAAATTAGAGTCTATACTAAATTTGGTACTAGATTCTATACCAGATTTCGTACTAGATTCTATACTAGATTTGATGCTAGATTCTATATTAGATTTGATACTAGATTCTATACTAGATTTGATATTAGATTCTATACTAGATTTGGTACTAGATTCTATATTAGATTTGAAACTAGATTCTATACTAAATTTGGTACTAGATTCTATATTAAATTTGGTACTAAATTCTATACTAGATTTGGTACTAGTCTATATTAGATTTGAAACTAGATTCAATACTAAATTTGGTACTAAATTCTATACTAGATTTCGTACTAGATTCTATACTAAACTACTTTAATTCTATACAAGATTTGATACATCTACAAAATATCGTGTACCTGTAATGTACATTATGTACCTATAATTTATAGTTTTAAATACTTTAAGATAAACTAAATACTATAAGGTAAAATATGCTGTTGTGATAATTATGCATTGGATAATTTGCAATTAGATACTTAATTGTCAGGACCGTTATAAAATTTCGTTAATCGTTCACAGGAGCGTGGACGACGCATCGACTTGAAATAAATCCGCAGAAGGTGAACGTAAAATACTTTTGTGAAATGCTAATGCTGCCAAACGCGCTTGGACTGGCGATGTACACAGAATGCGAATTAAGAGTCGAGTACACGTGTGCCAGAAGGCAAACACTTATTCGTCCATCTACCAAGAGATCGTTCGAAACCCCTACGTAACCTCTATGAAAAAAAAGTTACAAATCGGCCGGTTTGACGTTGTCGTTGTTGAAGAGGAAGTACAAATCCGATCGCAAATGCAAATCCCATCGTTCTGTTTGTTCTCTTCCACCCTCCGATTTCTACATGAAGTTCATTACGAAGTCGCGGTTCGTCTTGGGATCCCGTCCAACTCTCTCGAGAGCCTCGATCGTCCGGGACGATCGCGTTTACGTAACGATCTAACGGGCCCTGTGCGGCATACGCGGGCAACTGCACCGAATCGGCACCGAATCAAAATGGAAACGAGCGCGCCGCCTTTGGCAAACCGTCCTACGCAATCGAACGACGACACCACCGACTCTCGGAGCTTTCTCACCGGAGAAAAGCCGAGATCGATGATCGTGACGACCGACCACAATCGCGACGGACAGAGGATGACGGATCGATGATTCTGGTTATCGGTTTGATTCTGGGGGGCAACGTCCTTCGAGGATGTGAAATGGCAATGGTAATGGTAATGGTAATCGTTATCGAGAGAGACAGCGATGTACAGGGTGGGTCAAAAGTTTCTTCACACCTTTGTTTCTTTTAACAAAACTAGGAAAATAAAAGAAAACACTAAATGATATGTAATAACTAAATAAACTAAAAAAAAATTTTTAAAACTGAATAATATATAATGTGCAAAACTCTAAACTCTTACTAACTAAAAACTGAATAATATATAATGTGCAAACTAAAAAACTAATAATATATGATATTTAAACTTTAAACTAAAAAAACTAAGTAATATATAAAAATATATTAAACATTACTAAAATAAATACGCTAAATATACTAAAGTATATTTTAATATACTTTATAAAGTATATTTTATTAAATAAGTATACTAAAATATACTAAATATACTAAAATAAATATACTAAAATATATTAAATATACTAAAATAAATATACTAAAATATACTAAATATACTAAAATAAATATACTAAAATATATTAAATATACTAAAATAAATATACTAAAATATACTAAATATACTAAAATAAATATACTAAAATATACTAAATATACTAAAATAAATATACTAAAATATACTAAAATTACTAAAATAAATATACTAAAATATACTAAATATACTAAGATATAAGAAAGAAACTAATTCCATTGATTTTAAATTGAAATCTAAGTTCAAATATAAACTTGTATTACTCTAATCTGTAATAAAGATATATGATAAAACAGATTCGTTTCGGCGAAGTGAATTGAGAGAAGTGATTTTTAGTCCACCCCGTGTGTACAGATAATCCAAAGAAGAACTTGCAATGAAACGAAAAACAACTGGTCAACAAGTTTGACTCGCGTAAAATGAGTAACATAACATGTAGAAAAAAGATTGGATATGCAAACAGGGTGTAGAGACGACAACGAGGGGCATCGCGGAGGACGAGGGGAAAGTATATATGTACGAACACTGACTCACTCACATCTGAGGAGAGCAGGTTTGTCTTCGTGGTGAAAGAGAAAGGCTATGGGAAAGGATGTACAGAGCAGAACTAGTGGCAGTGTCTCAACATTTCTCTCTCTCTCTCTCTCTCTCTCTCTTTCTCTCTCTTTCTTTTCACGGTACATCAGCATGCATCAGTGACCTTTCATCGTTACGAAACGCTTAATACCCGGGGGTTGAGCCTCACAGCCTTACATTAGACTAACGTCGATACCGATTCCGCTATGTCGGCCGTTTAACTTGCGAAACCTTTCTTCTCTTCGCAATTTACTTCGTAATTACTTCAATTCAACAATTCTTCAACCACGTGATACTCATCATCGTTTCACGATTGGCGTAATTACGTTAATGAAACTCGAGTCCCAATTGAAATTAACAGCTTAACGATGTTGTCGATGAGAGAAGATCGCTAAGAAAGATCTCTTTTATTGTTTTGTTTTTTCTTTTTTTTTTTTTTTTTTTTATTCGAGGTAATAAATCTATGTCGCGGATAATAGATGAAACGAAACTGTTTTCGAAACGAAATCTAACTCTGAGGCCCACGAATAAACCTTTAACGAAGAAAATTTTTCATCTGACAGTAAGTAAGGGATGTTCAAAATCTATTGCAGTCATGTATCACCAAAAACAAAGGTTCGAATCACGAACAATGACAAACAGATGTTCACTTGATTGTGGTGTCGGAACTCGGCGCCATAACGTGAGTTTAACTTTTGTTTGAATAATGAGATCAGTTTTTAGTAGCAAGAAACAGATCCAGGTAAGGCTAACGAGCAGGTAGCGAGGTCCGGCGATTTAATGACACGCCACGCACGTCAAGAATTTTTCGTTCCAAAATTATAATATTTGCTCAGTTTTAAGTAAAACAAAATATATAATAATAAAATATATTTATTATATACAAATAAGTAATAAGTAAAATTTTTATATAATCAGTTTTAAGTAAAATAAAATATAAAATATATAATAAAATACATTTATTATGTTATATATATTTATTATATTAAAATAAAATATATTTATGTAAAACAAAATAGGCAAAACAAATAATAAATTTATTACTTCTCAATAATTTCTACATAGTGATATCACACCGACGAGTTCAAAAAGAAAGCGACGAATTTATTGTGTACGGTTCGGTCACTCGTTATGGTCCGCAATCAGTTGCCAGCGCAAGTGGTTAACCTAGAATAACGTGCCACGCACGTCGAGAACGTTTTTTGTCCCAAAATATGCAATATTTTCTCAGCTTTAAGTATAGTTAAGTATAATCCAGGCAAAACAAATAATAAATTTGTTAAATTACTTCTTAATAATTTCTACATAGTGATATCACACCGACGAGTTCAAAAAGAAAGCGACGAATTTATTGTGTACGGTTCGGTCACTCGTTATGGTCCGCAATCAGTTGCCAGCGCAACGCGGTCAACACTAGAACTACCGAAGTGGTCAGAACGACTGAAATTCATAATTTTTTTTTAGATATTATATATACATGACAGATGCGAAATAGTGTATTTTTAGAGGTTCAAATGATTTTTCATAAAATACACGAATAAAAGTTTGTGTATTCCATTGTATTTCTATTTTCTTCACTTTACATGTCTCTGATGAAAATTCTACGCTTTAGTCCTTGGGTAGTTTTAGTGTTAAGAGTAAAGGATGCAAGCGTATAAAAGAGTAGTAAGCCACAGAGAAGACTCAAAGTCATCGTTGAGAGTCGAGGGAAATTAGGAAGCTGTACAGTTGCACAGTCGCAGTTCACTCGCAGTTCAATTACATTTGCCACTAGTTCTGTTCACATTCTGTTCACACGCTCCGAGGAAGATAAAAAAGAAGAGAACTACCTTTTTTTCGCGCGAGTATAGCGAGTATAGCGAGCTGGTTAATGCGTATCGAGCATTAGATAACAGAATGATGCCGTTCCGCATTGATTCCTCAAAGTGGGCCGGTCCACTTTGACGATAACGGGTTAATAAAAAGAAAGGAGACAGGAAAAAAAAAGATTAAACGCGGATACGTCGTTGGGAGGTGGTAAAAACATCTGCGGACGTTCTACTTATTTCTGGTGATCGTGTTCCAGAGACCGGTGCAATTCCGTTATGCAACGTCGCGCGGTGAATCGCGGCGTCGTCGGTGACGTTTTTGATTTTAATGCGATATACCGTAAGTCGAGGTGTGTGAAAAACCACGGAAACTGGTGGCTCGAACGCGAAATCCCGGGGCAAACGCGGGAGAACCGGTAACGGAGGACACGCATGAACGAGAGCGTCGAGAGCGTCCTGCCTCGTCCGCTTCGATCACGCTTCGTCGAAATTTTCATACTTAGTAGCTTATCCCCTTGACACGGCGAATTAAATGAAATCATATTTATCTTTCACTTCGACGTCAGTTTTCATTCGCGTAAACTTCGCGCAAAGATCGTTTTTTTATACTCTTTTACAGTACAGCTATCCCCTTGACACGACGAATTAAACGACCAACTCACTCGACCAACGACCGAAAAATGATATTTATTTTTCACTTTAAAATTTGTGTAAAATTTGTGCACAAAGACCATTTTCATCACTCTTTTATAATATAGCTGTTTGATATAACGAAAATTCGACCAATGACCGAAAAATGACGTTTACTTTTCACTTTTACGTTTGTGCAAGCTTAACGAAAAGATTACTTTTATACTCTTATTTCATTTACACTGCAAAATGTCATAAACGTGACTATAAGCAATACTTATATTAGATAAATATTAGAGATAAGATATTATTATTATTGTTATTATTTATTAGAGCAAGTTACTTTGTCTTTTTCTAATGTCCTCCTTACATGTTTTATAATTATGTTTACTATTATGTATGATTATTACTATAATATATCATTACATTACTATTACTATAATAATGTTTACTGTTATTTACTATTATTTACAGTCAAGTA